TTGAACAAGAGGAAAATTGCATTTAAAAACTGCATTTTCCTCAGTACTGGCCTTGCGCCTACAGGAAAATAGAGGTTTTTTTTGGTCTGTCAACTGGGCATGCAACAGGGGAGACGGAGAGAGAGAGGGAGAGAGAGTTTGTTAAAGCCCAGAGTGGGTCCCTCACTTCCCCGTTTCAAATTCCTGCGGTTTTCAGTGCTCTGGAAGGCCTGGAGCTAATTTGGCTTTCAGGCTTTCCCCTCTAATTCTTTGCGACTAATTACAGTCATATTCCCGCAATTAAACTGATAAACTCTGCTGAGCTTGGCAAGGTTAACAAAGAAACCCCTGGCCCCTCCTCACTGGCTCAGGGAACCACCTCTTCGCCATCTTCTTCCTTTCTGTTATTTCTCGCTGTAGTAAACACACTAAAAATATAATCAACCTGGATTCTTCGACAGAGACTGTCTTCTAGGCCCCAGTATTTACTGCCTCTGGTGACAATGCCAGGAACATCACGAGGAGCGTCCAGAGGTCAGACAGATGTTGCGCATGAGGGGATTTAAATAGTTATGTCTGAAAAACCTAAAAACCCCAAAGGGATATGATTCTATTATCATTAAAGTATGATTGCAATTTGGGGACAGCTTCATAACATCGTCAGAAAGAAGTGGCCTTACGTATTCCTCGTGGATTCAAATGGACTTAATGTTTTAATTGGGCCTGCCAGCACTGTCTCTGCTCATGCATACAGATAGGATACCTAGGGAGAAAGAAAAACAAGCATGGAAATAAAATGAGGTAGGCTGTCTAGACCGAGTGCTTGGACTCATTTGGTTGTTCGGTAGGTTTTTCAGCACATGTGAATGTTTATTTCTCTGAAATGAAGCATATGGGCTGAGCTCCATTAAGTGCAAAAGGGGTGGTCCTTCCTCAATACGGCCCCTGTCAAACGCAAATCAGCACTTCTTTGCCCTCCATATTTTTAAGATGTCTCCCTCATTGACGGGTGGGCTCAGTACAGCAACCACCACTGTACTGTTGTCCTTTGGCAAAAATGTATGTGCTGAATGTTTTTTTACTAGCACGTTCCTTAAACGTTTGCGTGTGTGTGTTTTACCTGTTATGAGTGTGTGTGTGTGTGCCCATGTACTGGCCTTACTGTCTGTCAGGGTGTCAGTCTGTCTGTGTCAAGTATTTGTGTCCTGCCCCTTATCCCCTTGTGGCCATTTTGAAGCAGACCTACACATTTGTGATGACGCACTACAACACTGTATAAACACTGGAAACCAGACACCTTATTGTGTAGAGGAACATGTGTAAAAATACGCAGAGCATATTTGTAGAAGCTTTGAAATAACGGTTGGGATGGAGTGTAAAGGATGGGTTTCACCAATGTTTAGAGAGCAGGTTTAATTTTGGAAAGGCTGAGCTCTTTTTTCAGTCCACCTGCAGGTTCTTTATTTTATGATCTAACATATGTTAAAAAGAGTTCAGTTGACTCTTATGTGCATGTTGCTGCTGTTGTATTAATATTAATAATTGTTTTTTAGCTTAACACAGCAGCTTTTGTCCTCTAACACTGCCTTTTCCCCTCCTCAAGGTATCTGAGGGCTCAGAGGTCTACTTTCAGCCAGGAAACATCTCCCTCTTCTGCCAGATCGAGAAGGAGACCCTTCCCAGTGGCAACGAGCACCTCCTCAACTGGGCCCAGAAGAAGTACCGGGCAGTCACCTCTTTCTCTGAGCTCAGGATGACTGAAGACATCTACATCAAAGTCGGTGAAGGTGTGTACTAGATTCCCAAAATTCCCAACATAGCTCTAGGCCCCAAGGCACGCCTCCCTGTTCTCCGTTAGCTCCCATAACTTAACTAAGCTTCTGTGTTTGAGCCCTTGCTAGAGGTTTACATGCACTACTCTGGGAACAATATTTCCTTCCCTCAAACAGCGTCCACCCTTTTACACTATTTAATCGGCTACCTATGGTAATTTTGAGTTCTAGCTGCTTACAACCTTGAAACCCCTGAAAAATAAAAGGAAGTGCACAACAACAGTGTAGTTGTTGTGTTGAGTGTTTTGGCTGAATTACAAATTTAAGATCATTGCATGAAGAAAGCTACATAGTTATTAATTTACTACTTAATACTCTTTCTGTCTATCTCTCTAACAATCTCTTTAAAATGATAAGTTTATTAATCAATTGACAGAAAATGAATAGCCAACTATTTTGATAATTGATTAATGTTAAACAAATTTTTTAAGCACAATGTTAACAATTCCCTGGTTCCTGTTTCTCCAAAGTGAGAATTTGTTGCTTTTCTTATTTTATGGGATAGTAAACTAAATATCTATCTGAATTACATGACAAAATAATGGGCAGATAATCAGTAATGAAAAAAATTCCTAGTTGCACTACTGCTTTTTATACGTGTGGCATATTTTCCAGCATGGTATCTACATGTCTGGACACATCAGAAAAGACCAGAAGAAGAAAGAACCCAGGATAGTTATTTTAAAAAGGGGCACTGTGCAAATGTGGACAGACACAGATTGCCACTGATGGATGCAAAATCCTCAGAAATATAATTTGTCTCTTTTGCTTATTGGTGTTACTTCCATAGACTACAGTCAAATCAAACAAAAAAAGTACAAAAGCTGGTGCAGGGCATTCATAGGTTGACCAAATGTGAGGTGGAAAAAAGCAGAGGTAAGCAGGAGATAGACTATGCCTGTCACATTTTTCCAATAAGTAAGGTGAGGGGGGAGTGTGTCTGAAGTGAAGAAGCACTGTGGGATTCTCAGGGGAGGGTATGATTGATCTGTACACATGTGAGCTGTGGACTTTCGATTCTTCACTCTCTACTGGCCGCTTCGTACAGTGAACACACTGCACGTCCAACTTCACAATGCATCAGCTCTCAGACAGGACATCTTGTTTTTAATGAGCATCTTTCACTACATGGAAATAAAACAAACCTCGTGTCTGAAGAGGAATAATGGCTCCACTACTGCCGGTGATAAGTTCTCTCTCTGTGCTGTTAGTTTCTGCGGAGAGCAGAGTGGTTGCAAGCGTTTGGCTTGTGTCATTAGGGGGCTGTGGTTTGGCAGAAGCCCAGAGTGCCATGATGTTTACTCCGAGCTGTAGATTTCCACTCCTTCACATCATTAGTAGTGTTTCATGAAGATGGACAGATTCTCACTTTGCTTCCTAACCAGGCCCGTACCAGTGCCACAGGGGTTCCGGAGAGGAAGGTGCCAACCTTCAGTTTACACTTTGTCCAAGGCTCTGTTTGCCAAATAAGGAAGCAGCTGTCTTGTGTTTTCTCTGAGTGCTGAGAAGAGGCCTAACTCTTCATGTTCTGAAAGTGCTCTCTTAGTAGTTAATAAAATTTTGAACAGTCGCGAAAGTGGAGGAAAAAGCACTACAAGGTTTGATTAAATGTGTTTATGAATATTATTGTCCTGTTATTGTGGAGGGATTCTGGTGAACACTCTTGCTTAGTTTTCCCACGTGAAAACCAAGAGAGAAATGTCCCTGTTGATAAGAAGGTCATGCCAACCAGAGCACGCCCCAACCTCATCCAGCACAGTCCTACTTAGTGCTGAGACAATGGGAATACCAGCTGCAGGGATGTGTAGTGAAGTGAGCATGGAAGCTGCTCTTCAGCTGGAACTGCTGGGTCAAAGCAAACATCCACCCTGCTGAATTCTCCGTGAGCAGGACGTTAAGTTCCTCCCAGAAGCAGGGGGTGCTGTTCTGTAGCTGACCTTGTGCACTGACCTCCTCACCTCCATATTTCTCCTTTGGGGGATCAAAATAGCCTCCCAGAACCCCCTCCCGTAAAGTAACATAAACATCTCTTCCCCTTTCAGATCCAGTGTTTTCTGACACCTGCAAGATTGATACCAAGTTCCTGTCTCTGAACTACCTGGGCGGCTACGTGAAACCACAGACATCAAAGGGTTGTGTCCTGTCTGGGCCCGACAAAGACCGAGAAGTCCACATCATTGAGCTCCAAGCCCCAAACTCCAGCAGGTGAGCAGCCAGACCAGCCAAAGCCCAGAAAACATGTTGTCATAGTTTATTTTTGAGGTCAAGATGCTCACACTAATCTCTGTGGAGTTTGTTTTGGATGGAAACATGAACACGGGGGGGGGTTTCACTTAGTGGTGTTCTTTTGAGAGAGATATTTCAAAACTGGGTCTCAAAGTCCGGGTTGCCAGATAATCTCGTCACTCCCTCAGTGGAGTGATTATTCTGTACACCCAGAAGACCACAAATCTGGGAACGTGTTGGTAGCCATGCTGTATCTCACTCTTTTGCTATCTGGTCTGTAGTGCATATGTCTGCTTTTTTTCTGGGAATGCATCCAGCTTTTTAATTAGTTGGCCAGACACAGAGGGCACGATAACACTACGCCGACCTTAACTGTCCAGAATTCTTTTTCTCTCTCCCTTTCTGCAGTGCTTTCCAGGTGGATGTCGTAGTGGAACTACGGCCTCTGGAGGATGATGCCCCGCTGCATCGTGACGTCATCTTGCTGCTCAAGTGTGCCAAGTCTGTCAACTGGGTCATCAAGGCCCACAGTGTGATCGGCAAGCTGGACGTAGTGGTAAGCTAGCAGCATGACAACAGATAAAAGCTTTTCATCCAGGAACATGTTTCTTTTCCCCCTTTACAGACCACTGAGATTTGATATAGTTTTATCACACATCACAGTGGCTCACAAGTCATGTCACAGACAGAAATGTCATCACTTTGCACCAGCGACCAAAGAATTTGTCACACCAGAACGTGTGTTGAATTGGCGCCTGGTCCCCGCTTGCAGGATAGGGTGGGGATAACAGGTTAGGAGGAACTGTGAAATTTCATCGCGGCAGCTCCAGGGATTGTCATCACATTTTCAGAGAGGTGGGGACTGAGAGTGGTGGGGGCATCGCATATTTTCAGAGCCAAGGCTACTGCACATAGAGCCTGAGCTGCTTCCCATCAGTCATAATGTGAATTACGAGCAGCGCTTGCTTCAGGCACTTTGTTAAGCGGCGAGCTGTTAGGACCTCTTCACTACACGCAAAAGACAAACACTGGCTAATTACTGCAATATATCAGAGTACCATTTTCTTAGAAATATAGTTTTATACATATCAACGCTGAGTTTAAATGTACAGTTTTGATATTAAATCTTCATTAGTGTTACTCAAGTCTCAGGATCCTTAGGAAGTGTAAGAATATGACACCTAGAGTATGTACACTCTGGAAGAATAGTTTAACTGTAGATCATGTTGATGGAAAATTGGCTGTTGCCCAACCACTGTAATTGCTCCAGGGAACACAATATTCTGTGCAGTAGAACAGAAAGAAAGTCACCAATATTTTACATCTCCCAAAATATTTCATTCATTCAAGTGTGGAGACTATTTACTGTATGCTCGACCCTCAATGCCTCAATGTCCATTTGCTGTTGTCTTGTGTGGACCTCTGGGCTGTTCGCCCTGTACTGGTTTCAGTGGAGGTGTGCAGGGGGTTCTGTGTTTGCTCAGTGTGTAATGCTGATACTCCTATAGGGCTGCTGCAGCCATGACACTGCACTTTAGCCAGGCATAGTGTTTGTACAGCTGCCTGGTTACTGCTGTACAGTAAGTCAGTCAGGTTCTGTGAGTGTGATGCCAGGTCACAGAATGGATGGTAATACTCACTTATAACACAGCAGTTTAGGTTAGGAATGTGGATTGTTTTAGTATGGCTCTATGGATGACAATGCATCTATCGATCAGTCTGTCCAACACTTTGGTTCAGACTGAAATAAAGTCTACATTATTAACACGATCATATTTAAAGAATATTTACATGTTCTATAATGAGAAACCTTTTCAAAACATATTACATCAACTCAGTATTAGTGGTTTTACATAAACCTTAATGCATTAGTGTTCATTGTAGGTTTATATTTGGGGCATTCTGTATCTACTGTATTGTTAAACATTTAATACAAGGACAGCTTCACAAGATATCAAAAAATTTAGTTTTTAGTGATAAATACACTAAGTGTGTTTGTATTCACGGCATTCATGGTGCTTGTGCAACCAGTGTTTGGGAGAGCGTCAACTATGTATGTGATATGATAGCCTCGTAAAAATCAAGGCCTCACTCCTGTCAGAAAGCGGGTTGTCCTCAGCGTTGCTCAAGAGACTTGAATGTGTGGGAAATGGCTGTGAGAAAGAATCATTACTCCCTCACACAGGGAGGGTATGCAGCAGGGCAGGACACGTATTGTAGGAGCAAACGAACATGTCGGTTTCTGAGCGTTGATTGAACTGTGACACGCCCCATTACGTCAGACTCATGCACATGATTCACACTTGACACAGAATAGTACAGGACTGTACTTGAAGTTGAATATCTTTGGTAATACTTGAACAGTAAATCATGTCATTTGTTTCTGAAGATCTTAAGGGAGCTTAAATGGTTGGTCTTGTTGACAATGTGTTATTTTTGATGGAAAACACAAGACAAGGCTAATGACACTTCTGCTTTCTTTTCCACAGGCCTCTGATACTGTGAGTGTTAGTTCAAACACAGAGAGACTGATGCAAGTGTCAAAATCCCCCAAGCAGCACTTGCCATTGGGTCCGCAAGCCCTGATCAAGTGGGCAGGGGAGCATGGCTACGGTCCAGTCACGTCTTACACCAGCACTCCTGTGGCTAACCACTTCAATATCCGACTCAGAGAGCCAGGTAAACTGAAGAAACATCTTGTGAAAGTATACTGAAGCAGAGAGCGAAATAGTGTAGAAATAGTTGAGGTAAATTATAGATAAAATACTACGAGACATACATTTTAGCAGCTGCTCCAATTAATTTTTTTTCATGACTAATAGTGCACATTTCACAGTCATAGAGAAACTAGGGTGAAATTGTGAAATGGTTTATAGTTGTGCGTTGTAATATCGGCCTTGTGAGCTTCTAACCATGTGTGACTTCCAGATGTGGTGGATCCTCTGGAGAGCATGTTTCCTCCAGAGCTCTCCATCCTGCACGACACCAGCCCTCATCCAGGAGCTGCTTCACGACGCTCCGGTCTGCCCTTTCCCTTCCCTCCACCGGTGCCTCTGCCCCCCTCCCTTGATGATCAGCCTTGGGAAGACAGAGAGTTCGAGGAGCACCAGGGATCTCTGAGTGTCGGCCTCAGTGTGCAGTGTGAGGATACGAGGATGGTGGTCAGCATCGACAAAGAAAGCCTGCAAGTGAGTGGACAGCATTATTTTATCCATCGTGGATCCTGACTTGAAACATACAGGGATAGCAACTATACCACAACTATAACACACATGTCCAAATATACACATGAAATGAAGAAATCCTAAACCAGAGACACAGTTTATTAACAGCATGTAACATAAGGTGTTAAGCATAGAATGTATTATTTATTAAATATTTGTTTTACTTAAAAATATTAATGTATTAATTTAATATTAATATGAACCTAAGAAGAGCAAGCAGTTACTAAAGCACTTAGCAGTAAATCATAGGTATTTTATTTAAAATAATTAATAATCAAAAATAAATAAATACATTTTCAGACAGCTATTTGATTACACAACAAATTGAGACAGCACAGACGCACATAGTTTAGGAATCTTCCCTTCTAATGTTAAACAGACAAAACAGTTTTTTCTTATATTCAATAATACTTTACCCCCAAGTGTTTTGTTTCCCAACCAGACTAAACCAGTGTCATCGATTATTTGAAATGTGATTTAAGTCGCACATCTGAAAATTGTTTCACAGTCTGATTAGATTTGCTTTTGGGTGCTTTCTTTGTTTTTACATGTCTGCTCTTGCGACACAGACTTGATGTGACAAACTGTGACAAGAAGAACGGAAAACAACAAACATGAAGGACACCCAAAGACAATACCAGTGTCTGGATCAATTAGGGGGCTGAATGAATGTCTTCTGCACTGCGATTAGAAAATACCAATATTAACCTCCATGTTGCTAGGTTGTTGCTATTTGAAAAGCATTGAAAACTGTGCACACATTTGTATTACGTAGTCAGTGTAGTAATGATAGCAAGCCAGATAACCTGCTTTAAGTAAGTTCTGCAAAAGTAAAATGAAAAAAATACTGGCAAGTTTACTGAGAAATGTTGTCATTATTCTATTACTCTTCATTTAAACGCCAGCGTGCCTGTACACAGGCTGACATTGAAGCAAATAGGACGGTTTCCAACATTTGGCGTCTGATCGTGGGGACAGCGCAGTTAGCCCACATCACAGAATGGAAACTGGCATAGACTGTAATTAGGAGAAGCTGGAGCTGGAGCTAGACCACCTTGTGGGATTTGTTTATTCCTGGGAACTCGAGGTCTTACACAACCGCTTTGACTTTTCAGTCTTTTTTTTTTTTTTTCAATTCTGAAAATGAGTTAATAAAGAAAAAGTTTTTTTGATCTTTATCCAAGGTTGCCATTTTTTGATGTTTCCTCAGGCAAATGGGTTTACTCATGCCAACCTCACGCTCCAAGACCCAGCTTGCAAAGCAACAGTCAATGCCACCCACTACACACTGGAAACTTCTCTGACTGGCTGTCAGACCAGCGTCTATCCCCTGCAGGGTAGCCCAGTGGCCCTCCACATCAACTCTGTAAGTACAGTACCTATTATTACATTTTAATTCAAACAAGTCACGCCAATGAAACTGCTTAACCTGAAGCATGAAAAGTGACCTTGTTTATTTTGACTTATTTGGTTAAAGTTGTGATTACAAAAAACTAGAACTTCAAGTTTTATTTATTTTTCTGCAGTGATAGCACTGCCTAGTGTTCTTCAAAAGGGGGGACATTTTTGGTTTCAACTGATGATGCCTTAGTACTTAGATCTGATCAGATTTTTTTTGTCTGTCTGTTCACATTATTTTTGAAAATATGGCCCATATCAGCTTTTAATGTGAACAGGTCACAGTCCTGAACTGACCCTGTATTATCTAAATCAGCAGATACTCAATATTAAACAACTCGAATTCATGATGGTGTTAGCCATTGCTTAGTAATTTTAACACTCCATATATTACTCCATGACTCTACAAGTTACTCCGCTATATGTAAGTTACTATGTTATTCCATGTCGGGATTGAATCACTGGGTAATGTATGGAGTGCTGAGGTTACAGGACTACCTGTTGCCTTGAGTCTGGTTGTTAGCCACAACTGAACCAACGGTAGAGGGCCACTAGTGTTGGTAACCCCCTCCTTTCTATGGTGTGGGATAAGCACTACACAGAGTGTTTGGGAGCTTCTGGTGACTCAGCAGGTGTTGGAATAGCTTCCATTATCAGAGTGGAATACAAATGCCTTAAAGCACTGACAGTGCATAACCAACGCCTTGTTGAAAAAGAAGTTGACAGAATGGTTCCTAGCAATGCCAGCTATCAAATGTTAGTCAGTAGCTGATGGGAAATGTCCAGTCAGAGGCTTGAAGCTTAAGCACTTTTTCCACAAATTGTTCTATTCTCTTTTTTGAGACAAATAGAAAATGGAAAAATATGCACAATGGCTGCACTACCATTAAAGTGTAAATAATCTATAAAGTACATTTTCATGTAATGGTAAACACTTGAGTGTTTTTATCGGACTCAGCATTCACATCTGACATGCCAAGTTATCTTCATTATTATGGAATGCATTTATTCAGCGTGTTTGTTCTAACAAGCAAGGATGAATCACTTCCTCCCCAACCTTTTGAAATCTTTTGTGGAGGAAAATTTGGAACAACACTTTTTCTGTCCAAAGCAGATTGAAAACCCGGGCACACGTCCAAGGTCGTCTTTTGTGTTAGCACTTGGATGCAGGGATGACCTCTGACCTCTAGTCAAAGGAGATACAATTTCATTGTCTCGGTCTTTCACACATCAAAGATAATCTGTTTTGGCTGTTGTTTCTTCTCTCCTGTGACAGACTGATTTAATTCAGCTGTGGCACCATTGGCAGGTCAACGAGCATTTGGTGCAGACTTAAGAAAAACACTGTTACTGTCATTGAGATTGTCCTCTCACCTCATTAAATCAAAATTTTCTCAAAGCAGCATGTACTCGTCTCAGACCCCTGACATTCCTCTACTCTACTGAGAAATTAAAAGCATGTTTTATGTTTTTTTGTCCAGGGTGAGTCCCACTGATGAAGCCACAGGACATTCCCACATTTTAAATCCAACTCATTGGTTGCAGAATGTTTTTTTACCGACCCCTCTCGAAGAGTCAAATCTTGCTTTTGGCTTACTGAACACACTGAATTGAGCAACACTGCTCAACTGGATCTGTTTAAAAAAAAAAGTCTGGAAAGGAGTTTTGTGAAAGTTTTACTTCCACATACTAACTAATGTGGCTTAGATTTTGTGAATAACAGACTTCTCTGTGGATTGCAGGTTTTGATAAGTCATGCTGAGACTAAGGATGGGAGTGGTGGGCCGACGGATTATGAGGATCTGGAATCTGGAGACCTGGTGTTACCGAGGGAGCCAGTGGATTTAGAGAGGACATTTACGGAGCCCACAGAGCACCAGTCCGTCATAGTGGTGAGTCAGTGGAATAATTGTGGATTTGTCTCCGTGAGAGCTCTATTGCAGGGTGAAAGTTGACAAGTCAAGACCACCGATCATCTACATCTCTATGTAAATCATGCCGAGTTGGAAGCAACTCCATTTCCCATAGTCCCTTGGTGCTAGTAAAGACTCATCTGGCTCCTGCAATCTCTGTCTTTCCATGATGTTTTTTGAACTTGACCTGACATTTTCCATTTTGAAGTGTCTCTATCTTCTTCCATCTTCTGACTTATTTTCCTTTGTCTCATCAATTCCTCATCTCCCTCTTATTGTTCTTGTTTATACAGTATCTCTAATGTTCCTGCCCTGTTTTTCTATTTTCTACTTAATGTGGTCAAACACAGACACACAGTCATGTAGGGCGAGTGTGCTTAGCAGTGGAATCTCATGTCAGATCCCTGCTGATATTTGTGTTGGCCTTTTGTCTTATTCTCCTCCTAGTTCAATTGCACATACCGAAAGAACCAGGAAACCTCAGAAACACTTCCCAGGATTGTACCGGGACCAGGGAGGCAACCGGTCAGCAACATGACGTTCAACATGGAGTTGTACAACACAATGCCATTTATTAACCCCTCACGCCAGGCCTTCTACACCGTTTCACAGAATCAGCAAGTCTTTGTGGAGGTATGCTTTGCATTTCCAACACATTACCTCTTATTTCTTATGCAGCTTGTGTTTTTGTCCCTCAATTAAAACTTTAGTAAGAAAACTTTGCTTTGTGTACTCTCTGTCTGGGACTTGAGCTCTTCCTGCTTTGATCTCTTAGTGTGGCATCCACAAGTTCAATTTGTATTTTGTCTGCTGTAGTTGGGGCTAAAAAGCTAACACTCACATTCACCCCTCATACTCGTTGTATTACCTCTCTACGTGTCACAGTATCCTGTCTGTCTGGCTCAAAGTCCTGTCTGTCTGACTGTTTTTGCAACAGTAATTATGGAGGTCATGTAAGAGATGGCAAGAACTCATACTTTGAGGTCCTTTGAAGAGATGATTTATGATGATATCAGCGGGAGATGCTCCACTGACAGTGTGGACGCGGAGCCAGCTGGTTACAAAGAGCTTTCTGTGTATGTGTATGCAAGACCTTTTCAATGAGGATACCATCACTGACAATCCAACAGAAGGAAAGAAGAAGAATAATAACTCAAGGGGCTGTCTTACGGATGGAAAGATATTACGAATGTCCGACTCCTTACTGAAATTACTGAAATACTTATTGAAGAAATTTGTTGCAGTTGGCTAATCTGTTGTTGGCAAATAGTGGGAATAGGAGTGAACTAGAACCAATACAATGAGCTAAAGGATGCTTGAAAGCAGAATAAAACTGATAAAAACTGTGCTGGTCACTCTGAGCAACCTACTTCCATTTAATAAAGTACAGTTTGACATTTTGTGAAATGCATAAATTTACTTTCCTAATGAGAGCTAGATGAGAAGATTGATACCACTCTCATGCTCTAAAACTACACCCAGAAGATGGTTAGCTTGGATTAGCATAAATACTAAAAGCAGGCAGCACCTCTAGAGCTTTAGAACATGTCATATCTCACTTGTTTTATCCATGCAAAAACTTAAAGCTGCAGTAGGTCATTTTTATACAAATATTTCTTAGTCATATTTGCTGAAACCTTCACTATATCCTGACAGATTGTGAAACAATCAGGTTCCTCTGGCTCGTTCTAGTGCTCCTAATGGCATTTGCAAGAATCCACCGGGCCTGAACGAAAAAAAACAATCAGCCAAGTCAAGAAAGATAGTTGATTTATAGGGTATTGCACGATTATTATTATTGTTATCATTAGTTACAATAAATCTTAAAAGAATTAAAACCAATGGGGATTTTTGTCAGACGCTTTATTAGAATTTCACAAAGTATGTCCTATATTTGAAAAGAGTTCAGTATTTTTTTAATAACACTAATACAGTAGAATTCAATACCGTAGATAAGCATAAATTATATCATAACTGTCAACTTCAGTATACTATGGTATCGATATTCTGCTGCAACCCTAAACTCTTTGCAAGAGAGTGAATAAGTGTACTTCCCAAAATGTCAGTTTACTCTTTTAAGGAGTTTTCCACACTAATCATGACTATCTTGAGTGTAAAGGCCTGTTTGAGGCTTCTCATGACAAATGATCCCTGTATTTGAAGAATAAATGTTTTATTCTTCTCCCTCATGTGCTCCAGGTTACATCAACCACATCAGATCCGGAGCTGGGTTTCACCATCGTATCGTGCTTCATTTCTCCTAACTCCAACCCCGCCGTGCCCTCAGAGTACACTCTCATTGAGACAGTTTGCCCGAAGGATGACTCCGTCAAGTACTATCCTAAGAGGGACTTCCCTGTTCCTCACATACAGACGGAGAAGAAAGGTTTCAGCTTCATCTTCAATTCAGACTTCAACATGTCCCTACTTTTCCTGCACTGTGAGATGTCTCTCTGCTCCAAGAGATTCCATAGCAACCAAAGACTACCACCGGTATGAAGCATAATCTTCTCCAAATTCTTTTACCCTTTTGCATGTTTAATGAATGTACTGTACAAGCCATCAAAGCTGTTTTAGTCTCTCCATACATATGTATTGTTTGTTTGACAAGATTTTAAGTCAGTGTGGTAGTGCACCATCTTTACTCTGGCTGACCTGAGCCATTCAGAATCAGGTCTGCACCCGAAGCTAAGCAGGAAACATGAATCGTTGTAAAGTTTGCCAAGTATCCAGCTGCAGAACAAAATAAGCATCCAACTTAGCCATCATTTTCATTTTTCTCTTACTGTGTTATCTGTCCAACTCATACAACTCTTGCAAGAAGTTTCCTTTACTTTTTCTACTTTTTCACATGAAAAAGGTAGTGATAAAGTATAAGCTGACTTGTGACAGTGAAGCTAATTGTTATAGCTTAATTACCATCAGGGTCAGGTTAAGGCTCATGAATTTGTCATTTGTTTGATTTCCAAGTTTATACTTTGGGTCAGATATGACTGATGGCATTTACTTGAGGTTAAGTAATGTTAAATGTGTTTGCTTTTGAATTTATATTTATAACTACTTTCTACAGAGTGACATGTTTCTTTTTGTAGGATTTCTTCACTGTAAATGTTGTATTTTTAACTTTTTTATTCTCTTTATTTCTGAAATTGTATCCACACAGTGCTTACAACCCAGTCAGACCTGTGATTCACTTACCGTGGACAACATCCTGGTGATGATGATGAACTCCAAGATGTCAACCAAGCCGCTGGTTGTGGTGGATGGATCTGGTCAACCAGACGAAACAAGTTAGTTCAGAGGAAAAAAATCACATTTTACACCTACTTAGCCCTTGTGCCGTGAGCTCAACCTAAATAAGACGCACGTGGCTCTTAAAAGCTCCTGTCACTCTAAACCAATGTTTCCGTTTTAGCAACACTACACATTATAAATGAAGCTCTGATATCCATTGTTTTGAGTATTAAGTGTGATAAGGAGTAAAGATAGAAGCCGGTCTGAGGGCGAGGAGAAAGAGAAAGCTCGGTCCGGTACTTGGAGATTAGACCAAACCACAAAACACTGCTCATCACTTCCCCACATCTGGTCATCATTAACTGCGATGTGTGTGTGTGTGCACGAAT